GGAAGAAACAATCTTCATGCATCAACCAGAAGGCTATCAAGATGGAACCAGTAGACTGTGCAGATTAAGGAGAAGTCTATATGGTCTCAAGCAAGCGCCTCGTTGCTGGAACAAACGATTTGTTGGTTTCCTAGAAACACTCTGTTTTGATAAAAGTCAAGCTGATCCATGTCTTTTCATAAAAAATACGAATTCGAGTAAAATTTTGCTAGCTCTTTATGTGGATGATGGACTAATTGCTGCTACAAATTCACAAGCAGTTGCTGAAGTTATTGAAAATCTCAAAAGTGAATTTAAAATAACAGTGATGCCTGCGACATTCTTCTTGGGCATTCAAATCGAACGATTTGACAATGGCTCGATAAAAATCCATCAAAAATCATATACCATGAAAATCTTACAGCGATTTGGTATGGAAAGATGCCGACCAGTATCTACTCCAATAACGAAAGATAATTCTGGGACAGGAGAAGTTGAAAATGAAGGACTTTCTGATTTTCCTTACAGACAAGCTGTAGGATCACTGATGTATTTGATGATTGCTACCAGACCCGATATAGCTTATGCAGTTGGAGTTGTTTCTCGTAGTTTGGAACACCCGACAAAAGAAGATGTTGTACGAGTTAAACGTATTACCAAGCTGATCATAAACCTGGATTACTGGAAAGCTACAGTGATGCAGACCACGGAGGAGATGTTTCTGGAAGATCTACTTCGGGTGTTATTTGTTTATATTCAGGAGGTACAGTGACATGGCTGAGTCAAAAGCAGACGTCAGTTGCAATTTCAACAACAGAAGCAGAAATTGTAGCTGCAAGTGAAGCCGCACGTGAGATGATTTGGTTGAAACGAATATTTTTGGAAATTTCTGGATTGAAATGTCTTCCTGAACTACAAATTGACAACGAAGCTGCAATTAAACTAGCTCAGAATCCCGAATATCATCGTCGAACCAAGCATATAAGAACGAGACACTTTTTCGTGAGGGAACTTGTCACCGAAGGTGAAATCAATGTCAAGAAGGTACCGACTGAGTTTCAACTTGCTGATGTTATGACAAAACCGATGCCTAGACTCCCATTTCAGAAATTCTGCCAAGAAATGGGAGTATTTTCTTAAATAAAAAAACTTTTCAATGAGGGAGAGTATTGAGATATTTATCATTATCAAGTTTAATCAAAGTGTGTTGGTTATTGATGTAACTGTGTTGTTGTTAAAAAAAAGAGTAGTTTGTCAAATATATTGAACTTGTCAGTTTCATTTGTGTTTTAATATAGAAGTTCGCCTTTCTGGAGTCTACTTTAACATTCATGAGGGCTATGTCCAAAATTTTCTTCTCAGTCGATTAATAATATCTATCGCCGTTCTCATTCAGCTGTGTGTAAGTATAGGTACATTGAGAAAATTGAAACTTCTCATAAACTACGTAACACTAATTATTTCGCTCCCCAAAATGTTGCCACTATTCGAATATCAATATCTTTTTCAGCTTTGAACAATTCGAATTAGGACCACACCGTTCGCTAGCCTAGTTCTTCAGCTATAATCTCGAACTTTTTTAAAACATAAGGTTATTCACATGTGTAACAAAAAATCTCACGGTTGTGAATTTTCGTTCCTTTTCGATGATACTTTTCATTCACCTCGTATACTCTCTGTTCTTCGTTAGTGTTCGTTGATTGGTTGGATGGTTGACATTCAACAGATAAGTATAAGACATGATCGTTCTGCTTGTCAAACGGTTGTCGCTTCTAATCTGTTGCTGACCATTGCACTTGTGACTAACTAATTTCAATCATTTCACGGCCTAATGTAACAGGTAACACTAAAGTGAAACTATTGATCAAATTTTCAGAGCTGATTTTAATCAGTATGTATGTGAATATTAGATTGATGAGGTTTAGTAAAAATACTTCGAATGGAGATTTAATGGTTTCTCCTAAAAGTTGAAAAATTGGCAACACGTTATGAACAAATTAATAGAAGCACGGGAAAAGAAAAGGCGAGTTCGCTCTCTTCTTAGAATATCCATCCTAGAGTAAAGACGCTTTGCGAGTTTTTCCCTGAGAAAGACTGAAACCAGGTAACAAATGGATTCTCTCTTATAAAGATTTTGATGATTGATTTTTCATAATAATTATTTGAATAATTTCTGATTTCTGATTGAACTGAAAATTAGATTGTTTCTGTTTGCAAGTGAAAAGTTATCTTTTGCATTTTCCGGAAGATTGCTCAATTATTGAGGAATTTCAAAATTGGATTTGATGAGACGCCATTTGCTCTCAAACTGAATTTTTGTATCTTTATATCTACAATGTAATCCTGTTATTAGGAGGATTAATATTGAATTTTTTAAGGAAGTTATAAGCATATTTTGTTCTTGAGTCAATTTCACATGAAATTAAATTGTTAAGCTTGTAAATTTGTTTTACTGTTCTTCTCGCATAGATTGTTGGTTTTTGTATTTTAACCAGACCAGAAATAAGATACATGGCGCTCATTTATCTTGCATATCTTATCTTGTTTATCTTATCTTATCTCATCTAAAAGTTAACAAACTTCACGTACTGGACGACCTTCCGAAATCAGAGCAGCTCATAGGCAAGATAAAAATAAATAAGTACAATAATTTGTATTGGTACACATGCTACAGAGTGTTACCTGAAACTGTGCAAAATTCTGGAATATTCAAAAACATCCCAGATGAAGAAAACTTTTTTTCAACTTTGACAGCAGGAACATACACATAATTTTGGGACATTTTTGAAATGGTCTTCTTATTTCCTTGATTCACAGAGTGTCCTCAAGAAATAAATTTAGCAGCTGTGATAGTGAGGGCCTACTCTATCTCACCGGGCCGGAGCATCGCTTTTGTGACGTCACACTAGTAGGGACAAAATCAACGCAGTGGAAATTGTCTCTCCCGTTTCATTGATTTACCTCGGGAAAACGGTCACAGTTAGCAAAAAATATCAGGAGGTCAAATATGTACAGAAAAGAATTTTCCAGAAGATGAATCAAATTTCACTGATTTACGATCATTAATTTCAGAAATATGGCATATCAAAATTAATTTACGCCATTCAGAATTGTCCTTTTTCAAACAGCTACCAAAATTGCAATATTCAATTCACAGAAATGATTCAACCATGAAAAGATTTCGCAATGTATCTAGATTGACTGAGTTTCTTTTCGAAATTCCTAAGGGCCAACAACAAGCCGATATTTCATTTCAAGTAGAACGATGATTCAGGTGTTCATTACAGAATAGTTCAAAAAGTTCGGACGCCTCGCATGCTAATCCTATCAACTATGGATATATGCTGTCACTGACTTTTTTGTAGGAAATTTTATTGCCTACAAATCGGTTAAATACACACCCACTTTATCTCCAAGGGTTTTAGCAGCGTTTATCTCTAAAGATGATTAGGACGCACTTTGATGACGTTAGAAATCCTATCACTCGAGTGTGTTATTACACAAAAACGCCTATTCGGTATCAAATATTTTCTGCTGAAGAGTATATATTTGAAAGATAACGTTAAATTCATAAAAAAAATTGATCTGAATATATTTGCGAACTATCAAAATTGAAAAGAACAAAATATGTGGAGTTCATATGAACACAACCTAACAAAAATAACAACAATGAGTGATATAAAAATGAATATAACGAACTGAATAACAAAATACCCAGAACAACGATATATATGAATGGATAAGGAAAAAAAGAAAAAAAAAAGTTAGATCCTTATACACAAACAAAATCAAACGAAATAAACTGTAAAAATGATCAACATAACAAAATGAAAAAAATTTATAGATATCACAAAATGAAATACACTAATAAAAAAAAATATATAAACATCATCTTAATCACAAACTAAAAATTGAAATCTGAACTATATCTCATCCTGAAAGTTTAGTGATTTTTCTTTTTTACATTTTTTTTTATTTTGCAATAATTGTTCAACAGAATATTTGAAATGGGGTTAGAGAATGTTCTGCTGATTAAATCGAAAGACCCACAACTGCAACATTGATTCTCGGAATAATTGAGAAGGCAATTGATTTTAATTTCTGCTAAATTCTCCAAAACTTCATGTTGCGACTTACATTGTAAAAATATTGTATCGAATTTTTCAGACACCAATATTAGTTGGTCTGAACCATACGCCATTTAGAAATAAAATGAGAAATGAAAAGTATATCACCCTTTACCAGTCCAAGGAATTACCGCGAAATCGTAATACAGCGAAATTTGGGTAGGTAGGTATAACGGCCCATTTTTTACGCGCTCTTTATATTTAATTTCTTTCGGACTCATTGAAGGTAACTCTACAATTTTTTCACTATTCAATTGATTCATTATCGTATTTTGATATATTGAGTTAGTTTCATCTTATTCCAATTCCAAATTTGCAAAAACTAGTATTCTGTAGTATTCTACAACGTCCTTATTTTCAATGAAATGGAATTTCGTTACAACGCCATAACTCGGTATTGATTCATCCTATTGGATTTATTTTTTCACCAAGAGTTGAGGAATTTGTTGGAGATCATTTCGTCTCTATTGAGTGTGCTTCTGAAATTTATAGTAAATGAGCTATAGCCTATCAATTACGAACGCATCAGTACGGACTGATGTGAATTCTCAACCTACTAGTGTGACGTCAGCGTCGAGAGAGAGGAGATAGACTACGGCCCGGTGAGATAGAGTAGGCCCTGACCAAACACGTCCAAAAACAGTTTTTCCGGACTTAATTGTTACGTAAATTACTATTTCTATCGTCTAGCTTGGCCAAGTGCGGAAGTGCGGCTGCATCATACTTACCAATTGCACCACTATTTTTGTTACCAGAGCTGTGATAGAATCGTTTATTTGCAACTCAGATTTCTGGTAACTCTGTTATTCTGGTGAGTTCTACATTCTAGGTAAGATGCCCCACCTTCGAAAACACTTTGCATGACTTCTTGAATCAATCAAACATGATACTCACAAATTATTTCCTTCTCCTTTGATTCTATCGAATTCTCTCTGGCCATCGTCAGTACGTCATAGTTTTGAGCAACTTTTTCTTCCATTTCTTGCAATATTTTTGTACTTTTGGATAACATTTCAATTCCACTATCTATTCTTTGGGTGAACATATGGCCATCTCCTAATAAATTAGATTCTTTTCGCATCATTTCCTTGATATACTCGATTTGTGTAGAGTGGTCGTGTTTAATTTCTTCAATATTAACGGTATGTTTTTCTTTCAACAATCTGATTTCATTTTGATACTGTTCTTCGATAGTCCTATTTCTTTCTTCATAGTAAGATAGCTCTTCTTCGTATTTATTTCTCATGGATTTGATTTTTTCTTCTAGCATCTGTGAAATATTTTTCAGTTCGTTTTGTAGCCTTTCTTCAAGAGCAGAATTAGATTTTTCTGCCATGTCTAACTGCTTCCTGGAACATGTTCAATATTCATAGATGTGTAAAGTGTAATACACTGGGTGTCTCAGAGAAATGGGTCATCTAAGTAGGTTCATCTTTATGACTTCATGATTATAAAAATTGTTTCAAAATTCAGTATCACGATTTGAGGGGCTAATTTTTCAAGTCAAAATGAGACTTGTTTTCCTATAAACCAAAAACGCTTTGTACCCTATATCTACAGAGAGTTGACGTTTCAAGATTATTTAACTTTTTCCTCTAGAGCTCTCTTCTATATGGTTTTCGAGATGTTCAGATTGAATTCGAAACATAGGTTACGTTTTCATGGTTAACTTCCTATACAATAAGCCGAGTGATCGTGATAATCTACAGGGATATGTTTTTTCAATGTCAAACCCTTTTTCTCTACATAAACTCTGACAAACTGTTCATCGGATAACAGAAATATTAATATGTAGGTTAATTTCAAGTTGAGGTGACGCCACTCGATTTCCAAAATGTAAGTGAAAAAGTCACTTGAGACACAACAAAAAATCTTCCGTCGACAGCGGCGGAAATAGTATATTGTTTAACGAGCACGGAATGATTTCCTACGAGAATGAAGTTTGCAGCATGAGCCATAGGCGAATGCTGCAATCATTCGAGTAGGAAATTTGCATTCCGTGCAAGTTATACACTATAATTTTTCTACGGCTATAATAGATAACAGCGGCATTTTCGATTTCTTCGTCTTGTAGCAATCTGATTTCCTGTCAAGTAATGCTCATCTATTAGACAGATCTGTCATTGCTTGAAATTTGACTTTCCATGGGCGATGAGTTTTTTTAGAAATCATAACACAATGAAGTCATTGTGATATCTGATACGAAAATGAAATTGATGACAAACAAAGTACCTCATTGATGTATATTGAACACAGTAAAACAAGAGCAATCTTGTGTTATAGCCGTAGAAAAATAATATTTTGTTTCGGTACCAAGAATGTAAGTTGTTTTCAGAAGATGATTAGGTTATCCATACGAAATCAATGAGATATGTTATATTTCCATTTTGGAATATTAGAGATCAAAGAAATAAAAAATTGAACGTCCGGATCTCAAAAGGTTTGCAGTAAGTGAATATTGGTAACTTTCCAGACCACTGCCCATGAGGTATTACGTTACCCCTGATACTAACAAGGCCTGAAGGCTCGTAGTGAACAGCTAGTGACGTTAGCTAACTGAGGCCACGGGTTTCGCGTGTCGACTGTCCTCAGTTTGTTTAGGTATGTGTGAGAACCGTTTCAATTCCATTTATTCAATAAAAACATTTTTACAATACAAGGTGTATAAACAAAAATCTTCTAACGGGGACATTGGACATGATAAAAATGTAGAACATACAATGTAGAACATTTAGATACGCCACAGAATTACCCTCCAAGGGAGCCCTCAGAGGCAGCCGATGCAGGCCTTGCCGATGATTTTTGTCTAACAACCCTGATGGCAGTCATGAGGGAGCTGACTCCTAGGAGTAAACCTTCAATCCAGCTCATGTCAGTGAGTTGCCCAGGGCAAAAAAGATTGATCGTCGCACTGAGGAAAACTGGTTAATTAAAACGTCTAGTTGGTATTTTTTTAGTACCGATAATTAAAAATATTTGGAATTTCATTAACAATGACAACGTATCCTTATTTCCTACAAATGACTTTTCTATTTTTCGCCAATTATTTGTCATCAATAAAAATACTATTTGTGACAGAATTATCACAGTGTTGTCTATTCAGTCAATTAAAATATCATATTGGGGTTAAAAAAACTCATTCTGGGGTTACTAACAAAAGCTGACTATTTGCCACAACTGATGACACATTTATCGTAAAAGGTTTATTATTATTCATAGCAGAAATTGTTTAGCCATAACTAATAATTTTATTTGTACTGCGTCGTTCGGGACCGCCTCGCGTCTCTTCGGGGCTGTTTCATCATTTGAACTTGTATCTTAATAGTGGATAGATCGCACGGACGTCGGGCTTAGACAAAATAAATAAAATAATTGTCTAGTGTAGCCGGGACGTTACCACCGATCGGTGGTAACGGCCGGGAGCGTCGTGTTCTTGCTGGTTCTCTGCTCTGTGTGTTTTCAAATCACTGTTTTGTGTTTTTTTGCACTTCGCGCTGAGCCATTTGGCATTTGGTTGGCAAAATAATAATTCGCAGTTTACCATCGTTATCTGTGCGTCACTAGTTATCAGGTTTAGGTATTTATTCACAATTCAGTTCAGTTTATGACGGGCGACGGTGACAAACGTCCAACCGACGTCACGTGTACACGGTGTATATTTATAATTCCCTCTCTTTTTGCTGAGCTGTGGCCTGTGGCACTTACGGTGTGTGATGTATTCCTGTTCACGATTCCATTGGAAATTGGAAGGAAAATGGCATACACACTGTTATTATTAGAATGGGGCCTTGATTTTAATTGATATAAAACTATTAAGTTGCCAGAATAACTAAATTATATTTCAAACGTTACTAAATCACTTTTGATAGTAACTAGATTCCATTTCAGTCACAATTAAATATTTAATTTGCAACAACACACTCACTATTAACGTCAGAAGAAATGAGTAATTGCCCCAACTGGGATAATTTGTTGTGATAACAAACATTTATCGAAACAGTACTAACAATCTAATTTTCATAACTATGTATCTTGATTGTGGCAAATAAAACTTGGTATTATTCTTTAAAAAGGCTTATTAGTTACCACAACAACGTCGTAGATGACTCAACTAAACTTTTCATTAGAGGCAAATAGGCGTTTCCAGAAAAACAGAATTAGTTATGGCAACAACTAATGCTTGCTGTCCCCTATCGTACTAAAAATTTTTTCTGTAGTTACTAATTTTTTAGTAACGGCTACAAATTTTTTCCCTCAGTGCGATTGCTACCTTTTTCTCTCTTTAGCATTTTTTGTGTTGAAAAATAAAAATAAAAAGCCAACTTTTGAAATTTCTCTGTGAAAGACACTATGAGGGATGAGGGGTGGGATAGGTGTGGGAGAGTGATTGGGATCTGATAGACTGATTTCGTATCGTCAAATTCACTAGTTTTGTTAGCCGATAGGCGTGCTATCTCTGAGTCCTGCTCCATGGTAATGCTCCGATAGTCGTTCAGCCGGGCCACACAGCGTTTAGACTATACGGCCCGGCCGCATTTAAACATTCCGGTATAGGATTCGGCACCTTCTTGAATTCTATTGGCCGATTTTGATTTATCTGACCAATTGAAGGCGGAGTGCCGAAATTCGTACCAGAATGTTGAGCGGTGCTGAAACACAGGTCGGAATGTTGATGAAATGAAAGCTCGAGATAATGTGTAATGAACGCATTTTTCAATAACTTTAGAAATTCATGATTTATTTGGTATAAAAGTTTAAAATGAATGATTATATGTAATAAAATGAGATAATAAATTCGAAATAACAATCATTAGAACACTTAATGTCTGTCAATATCCTATTCCATGGGACTTATCGTTTTGGTTGATTTCTCGCCACGTTACCTGCCAAACTGCGTCTTCGTCTTCTTCGAATACATTTCATGAGCAAATAAAAAAATATTTAAAAAACATAAAATTGTTAACTGTACAAGAATCTTTTAATATTTGTAGGGCCTGATTTGAAACGCCATGATGTAAACGACTGAGCTTCATAATCATTCATCCATTGCACAACTTCTGTTTCATTCTTCATATTGCCCCTATAAAAATTTCTGAAACTTTTATTAATCTTCCCATAATTAGTGATTTATGGTATACTTCACTAATTGATGATTGCACTTAACTACAATAACAAGATTGCAGGTTTGTTGTTAGCATGTATGTGGGAACGACGGTATAATAAAAAAATACGCAGGTTAGGTAAATGCGAGGGTAAATGTAAACAAAAACCGCGCAAAATGCAGGGCAACATGAGGACAACATTCCGACCTGGTTTTCAGCACCGCTCAACATTCTGGTACGGATTTCGGCACTTCGCCTTTAATTGGTCAGACAAATCAAAATCCGCCAATAGAATTTAAGCAGGTGCCGAATCCTATACCGGAATGTTTAAATGCGGCCCGGCCAAACGACTACCGTTCGCATATTTACGTTTCCTATACAGCCAGCGCGATTGGTCGCTCTCACGAGATAGGGAATGGAGTGCATCCTGGAGCACTCCGTTTCCTAGCTGATATGCGCGATCAACGACCATCGGCGTTCCCGCCAAGGAAGAAATTGATTGCGAATTGTTCAAGCAAGCTCTATGCGAGAGTGAAATCGCCAGTAAATATATGAATTTTATTGAATATTTCGACAAAATGTGGCAGAGAAGACAGGATTGGTGTCATTGTTTTCGAAATAAACTGTGCAATAGGAGCATAAGAGTTTTTAAGGATTTGATGGTACAAAAATTTTTGCGTTATGCTAGCTCCAGGGATAACAGATTGTTCATTTATTTTACGAAATTTTGCAAAAAATCGGTTGATCATCGTGTTGTGAAAGTGTCTGAAGATCAGTTTACAGTTACTTCAGCTGCAGATGAGACACTTTTGTACTAAGTCAATACAAAGTTGGAAGTGTATGACTGTCCAGAAGGGGCAGGAGGAAAATTTTGCAAGCATCTGTGCGCTGTATATAATACTGGTGTGCAGATGCACAACGTTCCTAATATTATTTTACAAGACAAAATAGAACTTGCTACGTTAGCACTTGGAAATACTATCAGTATAGTGCCAACTTCTTCAAAGATATGGATAAAGAAAAATATAACGAAATTACTGTAGATTTTGGCGAACCCATGATGTTGAAAATGGAGAGCGAAATAAGTTCGAAAAAGAGACGACCTCGCAAAAAGCGTTCATTAATAGTAAACATCCTACAAAATACCACGAACGCTGTAAGTCATGGTAGTGCGCACTAATAATTATTCTCGATTACTTTCATGATCTTTATGACCAGTAAGAAAAACAAAGTAATCTGAAACTGAAAAGCATATCTAATGGTTCGACGATATATTTTGTTTATATTTTTTGTATTGTTGAATATTCCGCATGAATGAACTTCCGTTTCATTGTCAAATTGTGTCTTCTTCAGACTGAAAATTAGTGTGGAAAACAAAATCTGTAAATAATCCTGACCCATGCACCACAGAGCAGCCGATGGTCGTTTATCGTTGGTCGCGCATATCAGCTAGGAAACGGAGTGCTCCAGGATGCACTCCATTCCCTATCTCGTGAGAGCGACCAATCGCGCTGGCTGTATAGGAAACGTAAATATGCCTACCGTTCTCGTTCAATTCAGCTTCTCAGCTGTTTGTTGTCTAGAGTCAGTCTATTAGAGATGAGGGAAGGGTGGAGGAGTTATTCAGGTGTGAGAACCGGTCGCGTGCTGAAGGGTAAACGTTTGAATGATGTGTTTCAAGAACCTATCACAGCTATACATTTTTGTTCAGATGAAAAATTTATTTTCTTGCATAAAATGATAGATTGGTCAGAAACTTGGAAATCTGCAAATTCTACTAATAAACTAACAAATTTGATTCACACTATATATGGAATGACAGAAGTTATACAATATTGTTTTAACGAACTCAAGATGAATTATGTTTTACTAGGAAAATTTCAAACAGATGATTTAAACATAGGAAAATATCGTCAACTTTCAGGTGGACAATATCACATATCTATTCGACAATTGTATGAATCGGAAGAAAGGCTCAGAATTCAATCACTGCTCACGCTAAAATCTCGTACTTACGGTAATATACAAATCAGGTGCTTCCACGAAAATATTGATTTCACCGAAGAAATCCAAATTAAATCATTCTTTCAATCTAGATCTCGAAGTCGAGGAATCTGATATAGATAAATATAGTGTTGACATGCCGGTATTAACCTATTTAGCAGGTTATCGTTGATATATTACACTTAGAAAAATTAAGTGCGAATTTTGTAAATAGAACTCAATGATGAATAAATAATAGGAGACAATTACTCTCTTATGAAAAGTATGAGTAGAGAAAAATTACTCTATCCGCAAGCTTTGATTGTGAAGTTAGTTTGGTATTCGTATATTATATTCAACAAAATCATCTCTGAATTCTAGGAAATATTCTTGTATGTTCATAATGAACGGGCATTTTTAACTCAAAACATTCTCAAATTTCTTTCTGAAAACGGTCATTTGCCTCGTGGCAATGAATGCAGAATTCATTCGAACTATCATATTAACATGTACTACAAACACTCTACTTGAAAATTACTGTTTCAAGTCTAACGACCAATTGGGTAAAAAATCCAACAACAGGAAATTGAAAACACTCACTGGCTAATTTTTTAGGTAATAGGAATTCTCCAAGATAAATATAGGTAATTATAACAAACGGCAAGTTTATCAAAATGAAATACATTTTCCCCAATTCTCTTTCGATCAATCTCACGATAAGTTCATATTCTGTGGACCCTGTATAAGTAGGTGTAGAGTTTACCTCTAATAAGATTAAATCACAAATATTTAATTCGAATGGGTTGCTGTAGGTGAGTATTTTAGTTCTATTCTGGTTTTTGCTTTGAAACTTCGTTTTTATCATAATAAAATCGAATGGGATGTGAAGAAGGGCTCAGTTGACGACTGGCATCCTCTTTCAACCGGAAGCATTTCAAAAAATTAGCAAAATCGGCTCAATAATGATCTGAAACTGAAATTGTAATACGCGGTCGCCTTATTGTCGTTTCGAGCTGCTGTTAGGCCTCACTAAGGTGACGTCACTACGGAGCCTGTAGGCCTTGTTGGTATCGGGGGTAACGGGTATTATCCTTTTTTTTTAGTGAGTGTTCGCCTCTAGGTTATTTCAATAAGAAGATCAGCCCCATCGTCCCACACTCAAAATATAAACACAACATAGAATGCAACTCGTCAACAAAATGAATAGTTTTCTGAAAGTATTGTTACGTTATTCGGGTGCAGAAGCGAACATGACACTATTTATTTTCGAACTGATTTATTTTTAACTTAAGAAACACTAATTTATATCGAACTTATAACTACTACTCATGTTAAACGATTTATATCACGCAGTATATAACTGTCTCTCTGACACAGCTTGACTGACTGACGGCAGTTATCCGACCGTTTATATATGAGATCCCTTGGCAGGCTTTGCTTCTCGAATGATCTCGAATGATCTTCCGTACCCTTCGTTTTGTTCTAGAAGCTCCTTAGATCGATACCTCTCTCTCTACATGTTCCATCGATTGTTTCCAGGATATTCCAGAATCTTCTGTCACGTTATTTGTCACCACGGCGGCATATATTGAGTGTTCGAAAATATGCTGGTGCATGTAGGAATCATTGAGAGGTTGGAGAACAATCTGGGATGCGTGTTACAGGATGATCGTTGTACTCCTGTCTTCCTGATGATGTTTCTAGAGCCCCTCTAAGGGAAATATCATTACAGTATATTCAATGAAACGAAAAATATAGTTCCACAATTCCACTACATATGTTACATCATTTTTGTACACTACACACTCCAGATATGATGACCACAATGCGCAATTATAACAGTGCACTCATCATTATAGTTATCGTTAACTCTTATAGATCGAGTAGAATTCGTGGATGCAGCTGATAGGACTCATAAGAAATCTCTTTTTACTCTTGAGAAGGAATGAAGAATTCCGATAGCTTCCTCAGAAGTAAAAATAATTTTCCCATTTAGCTGCATCCCCACAAATCCTAATATTTGATTTATTGATTGATATAGCTTATGGGTAAGTATATCACTAGTCACTATCGGACTCTTCAGAATTTGAACCGTCATTGACCCTAATGATAAAAGGATTGATACGTGGTAGGATACAATACTCTTTTCCTTCTTCCATCACATGAGATACGCAATTATTTCTCCATATGCCACTCTCGTTAATCTCCTCAACTACTTCCTGATGCCGTATGAAACTAACACTGTCAGTAATTGCGGTTATAGACTATTTTTCCCCTCGTTGCTTTCGATAGCAGCCCAAATCATCTCAATGAAGTTGAAAGCGCAGTAATATGGAGGTGAAACAGTATGGCCGTGTGCTAGGAAGAGTTGATCAACCACATAATCCTTTCTGGATTCTTGATTATTTTTAGTAACTCTCCTCACATTTTTTTCGGAGATATTTCCATGATGTGAATGGTATGATGCATATATTGTGAAAGATTATCTTCTGTATACGTTATAGTTTTCAGTTTAAAAGTGTTGATTTGAAATGTCACCTAATTTTTGAAATAGAAAGTCAAATCATTTGAATTCTTCTCAATCGATATCGCCGATACTGGGCATAATAACAACGAGCTCTGCTGATACATTACCAGGTTGAAGGGTCAGAAATCTTGAGAAATTGAAAGATGAAGGAATTTGACCATTTTTTGACGATGCGGCTAAGGGTGCCACATGAGAAAAAAAATTAAGACGATAGACGACGAAGAACAAAGAATGAATCGATAGACAACGGAGGATACTTAAGTTGGGACGACGAAGAAAGTTAACGAGTCGAAGAAACGAATACCTAAAGGACGAATCATATGGATGATCTGAAAATCGAAAAACTCAATTCAGAGAATTATCGATATTGGTCGATACGGGCTCAAGGCATCTTGGCGGTGAAAAATAAATGGTGTGCGTAGATCCAGTTTTAGAAATTCAGGTGATCCAGCAAATAAAAATTTCGAAATCTATTTTATATTTCACAATCAATAATGACAGCCTCGATGACGTGATGGAATGCAACACAGCAACGACGTTTTGGTACATTATTTCAAATCAGCATAAAACACTATTATAACGGACCTTGAAATGGGTTCTCGAGAAGTAGATGGTTCGTTCTCATCAGATTTGGGTGAATAAAATAGTTTTAGAAATAAGATTTCACTCACTCATCCATTCTTATATTCCTCATACTTAGGTATGAGAATTGAAAACAGAGAAAATACGACATACAACTTGTGATGCAACCTGTGATACAACCTATTGTACAACCGTTGGGGAATCACAGGTATTCTGTGCAGAATCTTCATCATACATTTAGACGGGTAGATGGCGCCCGCATACAGAGAACAAAAATGTGTTTTGGATGAAGAAAAGTAGCACATCACGTGTCTAGTTCTTTCACTATACAATATGTGGTCTGCTAACTAATCATCCAAACGAAAGGAAATGCCAATGATAATTTGATAGAATGAACATATGAATAATATATTGTGATTTTATACATAGGAGCGGAAACATGAAAATGTACCAGAAACGCCTTAAATTTAAAATGTAGTAACAACGTACCAAACAGAATTGAATGTACCTACCACATTTAGTACAAATGTACCACCGCGGCAACACTGAATATGATACGTGGCATGGTCTATTACTCTTGAAATACAGGGTGGTGCAGAATTCAGAATCTTGATCACTCGGTATATGTCCCAATTAAATATCAGTAGATAGTTAATCAAAAGTTGAGATAGGGACATGTAAGCCGTTTTGACCAAATATGAATAGTTTCGACACAAAAAATTCTTGAACTTGGAATATCTCGATTTTTCACACCCTATATATCAGTAATTATAACTGCTAGACCCCAAGTATGATGGGTCGTTGAAATCAGCTCATCAGGAAGAATCTCAAAATAAAATAATATATAGGGTGTTCGATAGAAAAAAGTTTAACTTCAGTGTTTTATGGTTTTTGGGGACACCCTGTATGTTTCGAAATAATTTTAAATGGTAGCCTATGTTGACATGCAACTTCCTAGAGAGGAAGAATTCCAAGCAGATACGTGGTTAGCCTTCTAGAGACCGAGGAGTTACTGGTGGGCCCACCCTGTATATATGGTTTTCAAACTAATATGTTTCATACAATATATCTTATAAATCAGTATAATGAGAAAACAAGTGTTACTCACTTGAAAGATTCCTCCAACATCAACATTTCTTCATCATGTCTCTGTTTCATTTTGCGAACAATTTCAGTTAATTCAGAATTTTCAACTTCATCGTCAATTTTCAAATTATCGTGATTTTTCTCATTTTTGTGAATCACAGGACTACTACAGATCAACATTTGAATCTGATTATTGATCCTCTCTTGTTGCAGTCTTATATTATTTTCAACCATTTGCTGTCTCATAATATATTCATCGACTAAAGTTTTGAACTGGTTTTCTTGTTTTCCTAGAATTTCCCGTTGCTGTTCTTTGATCTCCATCAGTGACTCCTCGTATTTTTTGAACTGAAGAGAAACCAGGAGAAGAGATTCTTGTTGATGCAAAGATGCATAAGAGTTTTGAATTTCCATGTTAATGCGTTGTGGTCTCAAAGAAAATTCGTCCACGGCCACTGAACTGGTGCTTTCGATATTTTTCGGTGGAATATTCTCGATTAAATTATCTGCTGATGATATATTTGCCTCATTTTCATTAGGACCATCTTCAATATATGGTTTTGAACTTCCATCTTTTTTTACAGTCTCAGTCTTGACTGTACTTGTACTAGATCCACCTAACCAGCCTGGAATGGCTGAAATAAAACATAACACTGTAAATACAGCATACCGGGTGACAACGAAATCATTGGACTGGGCGTCCCTGTAGCTCTGTAGACCCCCTGAAGCTCCGCTTCTTATCGGGATCGGACTTTTTAGATAAAAATGATTATATCTATCACCCATTTCAGTGCCTTCCAATCTGAATCACCCTGAATAATGACATCAAAAGTGTTATCGCTAACATCGCCAGAGCCGAAATCGTCCAGCAAAAATATAACCAGCTCAAGGTAATCAGATCATTTACGTCCAAGATACCACCTTGGAAAAGATGTGGATTGTATAGTGAACTGTAACCTCTAGGGGTCGCAGTGGAGGGGTGGTATTCGCTCCACTCACATGGAACTCACCTACCTATACTACATACATTTTTCTTTGATACGTCGCGAATCGATCGGTATTTTGTGAGTGCCTGTCGCCTTTTTGAAAAACCAAGCTCATCCGACTCAGAAGCTCGTAGAGATAGGACGCAACGACTAATCCTGAGCGCATCATATTGCTTCCTGCATAAATATGTACATAATTTCGCGAAACATGGGGTCAATGGAGCAACGTACGTGCCTGATGATAGGCCAAAGATCCCGGGTTCTCATCCTATACTCCACCTATTTTTCGTTCTGTGAATATTTGAAAAAAATACTGTGGATGCATGAAATGTCGAGGCCGATAGTGATTCACTATTTCAAAGATTTTTGCAGGATTGGCCGTGATCGTAGCCCTCGACCGGAAATTTTCTGTTTACTCGCTCGTATTATTTCTTTCGACCTGTCTCTAGACGCTAGTACCTGGCTCCAAACATTTTCAATGGGATTCCGATCTGAATATAATACGGACCACCACATTCTTTTATCAACATCGTTACTTATTTTTTATTATTACCATTGATATGTTTGCTATATTATTACGTGGCCGAGAATTATCATCTACGAATATTAAATCCAATAAAAGTCATACTTCCGATTAGGTTACTACTACCGTTGAGCACTTGAGCAGTATCTATTGAATAATGTGAATTGATAGTTATAACATTCATTATCACATTTGGCACATTATTAATTCAATACCTTTGAGCACTTTCGATATAAAACATATTAAGTAGTCACCATTTGTAATGAATGATGGCTTTCTAAATTATACCTTTCATTAAATACTGTCTGTAGGTTGATCGAGGAGGTGGTACATTCATTATTCCAAATTTTTTGGGATTTTCTCTCCTCGTTTCTATAAAATAAAAATATAAATATTATTTCAATATAAGTACAATATGAAGGAAAGAAACATCGATAAATCGAAACTAGCTGAACATATCCTTACTGAAGACGGACAACATATGGCAGAGTGGAATAATATTAAAATCATTGGAAAAGAAGATAACAACCAGAAGAGAAAAATCAAGGAATCTGCTTGCATTCTTCTGAACGGAGACAATAGCATTGCTTCTTGTTCAGTTGATATAGACAGAACATGGTATTCACTACTGAAATCTGAACATGAAAATGGTAAATTCAAGATTAATTAATGAAAACATCCTGTAACTCATTTGATTGCCAACGTCACCAATTGTCATTGAAAACTGAAAAGCTTCAAGACATATTATACGACTTTGCTATTGAAATAATCTCTTTTCATGTTGAAAACGAAAGCAGAACCGGTCCCGAAACGTCCAAAGATGAGTGAAAATTTGATATTTTTTCTATATACCTTTATTTCTCTTCTCCAAAATTTTTTCAATACAAATTGTCACTGACAAGCTAGTGAATTTTTCTTTTAGGCTCTCTGATAGGAAAATTCTTTAAACGCAGTGACAATTTGGTGCAAATCATCTGATTTGTCCTTACTACACGTATATTGAAATAATATTCATATTTTTATTTTATAGAAACGAGGAGAGAAAATCCCAAAAAATTTGGAATAATGAATATACCTTTCATGTATGAAAGTATATAGATAGTTCATCGAATCGTTATATATAGTGGCATTAAGAAATTAGGGCATTTGGAAACATGGCAATTACGGAGAGCAACGCTCACCGTTAGACAGTTGGGCTCATAATTAATTTCAGTTCTCATTTTATTCAGATATTCCAGCTGAGACTGGCGAAGAAGTACGATAGCCAAATCAGTCTCTTGCTATGTTGCCTTTCACATGCCCTATGTATAACGATTGGGCAAATAATCTGCATGTGCATGTTAGCTAACATAAGAATTTCATACCTGCTGTATCAGACACACTCTTTTTTCTACTCTCCTCATGCCTTGATCCATCAGTTACTTTCCTATCCTTCGTGTGGAAATCACCACTTTGATAGTCATCACTAAATAATCCCAATCCTAAGTTATCCTCCAAGCCAGTTGATGATCCTCTCCTTCCTCTTCTTCGACCAGTATTGGTGCTGAACGATCCAAAGTCTGTTGCGTCTGGCGTACTCACATCCTTCAAGGAACTAGAGGGTTTAGAAAGGATGGGAGCCTTACTTTCTTTGAGAATATTTTCCAATGAAGATACTTTCCTCTCTGGCTTAGACGATTTTGATTTTGTTGATAAAATATCTTCTGGAAATTTGCATTTGAATTTACATTTTCCTCATGCATCATCTGCTGATAAAGTATACCGGGGTAAGTGGAACCGCGAATTTCAATAGCACCGCTATAAACTGAAGATAATAATAATGGGTCATTCTCGTTTCAATCACGTCAGCTGACTGATGGATCTGTAAATGTAAAACGAGATAGGTACTCAAATCTTTGATCTAATTTTTTTTTTCAATTATAGCGGAACTTAGGTTATACTTGCCCCATATCCATGGAGCAAGTGTAACTGAGACTGTCCTTGTTGTATTCCAGTGGCGCCTTCTTCCGTACGTAGTCATGCACCATGTCAGGAAGAAATTTATTGACTTTGCATTTGAAGATCAGGAATATTCAATGCACGATTCAACATGGACAAGTGGAACCTAATATATAGGTTACATGTTATTTCAGTCTGGATTCCACTTGCACCAAATTTACACTTACCCCGGTGTACATTAACTATTTCAGTGTTCGAATTATTTAGATCAAATTTCAAACATATCTTAAGTTTTAGGTTCACATCATATATACAGTATGCCAAGTGATCGTGAGAATATATAGAAAGTTATTTTTTCAGGAGGAAAAAATCATGTTTTCTAATTCTCTTAATTTAATTGAAAATTTAAAAAAAAAAAACAAATTTATGATGCAAAAAAGTGATTGACACTTGAAAAAATATCTTCATGTAGATTCTTACAATCACTTGGTATACTGTATGATGGAAAACATAAAATGCAACCTATGTTTCAAATCTGATCTGAATATCTCGACAACTGATAAAGCTACTTATAAAGAAAAAAGTAAAAAAAAACTAGAATCTCAGAACGGAACGAAGCGTTTATAGAAAAAGTCAGCCTTTTTTCCACCTGAAAAATGAGCTTCTGAAATCTTGATACTGAATTTTAAAACACCCTGTATATACCTTCGTCGCGTTTGGAGAAATGAATAACTACACAAAACAAAATCGTTCAAAATATTGGAGGTGATAGTGAAAAGAAGTATGCATAATTTACCAAGGAAGTCTGTCTTTTTTGTATGCTTTTCCAAAACACTTGAAGGACTTGCGTCTCCTAACCAATCGTCTTTAGGTGTTTTTGTTTCATTGCTTGAGGCTGCTTCTTCGAAGGTTACCGATGGCTTCGATTTATTCTCAGTTTTCCCTGTTATCCCCAAAATACTATCCAGAGATTTCTTTTCAGAGGTTTTTGTCACGTTTTCATGAGTACTTTTTTCCGCTAAACCAAATACACTCTCCAAAGATTTCTTTTCTGGTGTTTTTGATATACTTGACCGCTTTGCTAGCGTTTTAGGTTCTTCGAAAAAACTGTCGTCACTTTCTAATGGGTCATCTAAGTCAAAATCCATGCTTTCTCAATGTTTTGAACTTGAAGACTTCAACTATCACCTATAAATATTTCTACACTGTATCAATGAATAGGCATGTTGACAAACTTCTGAAACACAATCATGTTTGTTTGTGACCTGCGATTGCTTAGCAACGCCAACAATATATTCGATTAGATTATATAGAGGGGTCGACACTCTTGATGATACAAGTAATCGATTGAATATTACAGGTACCTACCTACCTACCTACCTGTATTATTAACAGTATCGATCAACTCGATTAACTCGAAAGAAAAAACCTCTAAGGGATAGTCTTCGCAAAGTCACTTGAGACCAATTTAGCAAGGGCGCGGTGGATCTTTTTCGATCAAATTTTGTGAAGTGGCTTTGCAAAGACTATACCCCATAAAGACTAGTGTAGAAGCATGGCGAAGGTATGGTTTATCGGTCTGCCGGCTCTAATAGGCGACCGCCTGCTGATATTTTCCCCAAGAAAAAGTTTTTCATTATCTATCATTCGGTACAAAATGCTGGTTGAAATATCAATGTTTATCATTTGACCTTCTTGATATAATTTTTTCAGCGTGTGCTTCGATATGGTTAACATCCCTGGTCTTTTCAAAATCTTCACCCACTGAAATGTAACAAACAAAAGAAACGACCTGAAGTTTAGCCAATTGTTGTAGATTTTTCCATTTCTCATCATTCGATGCAAAATGTGAATAGGAATGTAAATACATACTTTTTAAATATAGATTGATCGAAGATATGGAACATATTTTTTTTATTTATTTTTTTTAATTTTCTCTCCAAGTTTCCATGAATAAAAGTATCAGTATCATTTCAATATTATGTGTACATACCTACCGTCAAGAGCATGGGGTGTTGTTGTCCAGATTATAGAAACGAAAATAGCAAGAAAATTTTTAATAAACATGGGTCCAGGAATGGCCAGATATAGCCATTTAAAGGAGAGCCAGAGATGTTTTTTTTTATATTTTCGAAACCTTTTCTGATAAAATAACCCAATATTGTACTTGCACCTAACTTTTTATGCCCAATTTGAAAATGTTCATAATTTCCCGAAAGTTTGATCAAGAGCGTAGGAAATAGGTGGGCCTAGGGGCAGTTTTCTGCCATTAACTTCTTTGTTCATGCAATTTTCGGCAGATTTTTCACGAAATATGAAAATATCAGCATTTTCACTGAAAATGAAACTCTCGTTCATAGTTTTGGTGACATCCACCATTTTGGAGATTTTGAAAGGCTGCTGCGTGATGAAAATAGTACTTCCTATCAATAGGGTACTTACCTATCATATTATTTCTCAATTCATTTATTTTCATTAAACCCCCTATATTTCAAATCAAACATCGAAAGACTATTTTGAAAAAAGGGGACTTTTCCATCACACGCAGCCGAATTTTAAAATCGAGTTGTCTCGAAAATGATAAACGCTATCGAAACTAACCAAGAGTACCATTTCTCAGTGAGAATGTTGAGATTTTCATATTTCCTGATCAAACTGCCAAAACTTGTATGAACAAGAAAGTTAGGAGAAGGAGTGCCCCTCACCCCACCTATTTCTCATGCTGCTGATCATCATCCCGGGCTCTTTTTTAGATGGCTATAGTCCCCTAGGGGGCAATTCCTGAACTCATGTTTATACATACTTTTTTCAATATCTTTGTTCCTAGAATCTGTGGTTGAAACATTTTTATGTAATTTCAGGACACCTTGGATATATTTTCTTAGGTTTATACCTTCATTGTATTATTTTGATATCGGTAATATTTAATTTATATGTTTTCATCTGAAATAAATCATTACAACATACAGCGTGTCTCATTCCAAACGGCCCCCCTCTATATCTCAGCTATTAAAGTCGTGTGAATTTTTATAATTCTGATTGGATCATCAAAATGATCGGTTTTTCAGAGACGAACATCAATTCAAACAGTGCCGCGCATTTTTATTGAAATGAAAAGAGGTAAATATTTCATGAAATCATATATGAGGATTATGAAACAGCAAAACTCATAATATTGTTCTTCCAGATTTAAAACCCCAATATTTGAATTTTCAAATGATTCATATGGAGGAGTAACAAAAAAACAGGCACATCTGAACAGCATTTTTATGAACGTATAATATATTTGTTTACTAACCCGGAAACGCCGTTGAACATAAAATTGTATAGCTTGTTCTTCTTTTCGATTCATGACCGGAGTTAGTAGGTAGGTATATGTAGGACCAGAGTTATTGAATGTGCCAAAATTTGCATCAAATTTGAATTCACTATTTTTTCGAGACTAAAAATGAGAAAAATTAAGCGAATCATGTCATTGATTCGGAATGAGGTGATTTTTTGCATATGGAGGATCGAAAGCATGAGAAACAATAATGTGAAGTTAGTTTTCTTGCGAAAAATTCCAGATATAATTTCAAAAAAAATTACTCTTTTTATTTCAATAAAAAGCACGGCACTGTCATAAAGAAGGTTTGTCTCAGAAAAACTCAACATACCGGTCCAAATTTGGCACGAATCGCATGACTATATACAGCTAAGATATGGAGGGGGGAGGGGGGGGCGTTCAAAGTGAGTCACGCTGTACATGAATGGAATATTAATTTCTTTCTTGTCCAACTACAACAATTTGAATGTCTGAAATTAATTTTCAACAGTTTTTGAGCTGTTTCCAATGTCGCCCCACTTTTTGACTGAGCCAATTTATATTTCTGAATTCTCATGTGGCCATCTGATATCACATAAACCACCTTGTTTGAAGAAGGTTTGAAGAAGATGAATATAGAGACCATCAGGTGTCAGTTGGTGTTGAGATTAGACAAGTCATAACTTTAAAAATATTAGGTAAATTGTTTTTGAAGATTTTTGCATATTCTTACCTTTTCGGACCCTTTCGGTTTCGTGTATTTTATATGAATCATTTGGTTCAGCTGCAACTTAATTAAAAAAATCGTAGAAGCTATCAAAAGGTATATCTGATCCAAAGAAACATAAATAATATTGTGATGATTAATGCACGCCTATTATGTAAGAACCATTGAGATTTCTTCAATTTCCTGAAACCGACCAAGCATTCGTAGTGTGTGTAGTAGCTACCTAAAGCTTTCTCAAAAACCGATATACCAGGTGACACGGAATCGTGGCATTTTATCCTTTGTTCCTCTAGCTATATTCCTGAAATTTGAAACATCAAATATGCTCACTAGATGGCACTTTCTCAGATTCTAGGAATTTATTTTCATCTTCCGGTTTTCCTAGAAAACTGACATACATTCGATTTCCAAAGAAGACACCCTGTATTTTTTCCAAAATCGGTTAGGGATAATTATAAAGAATTCAACGATCCCTGGTTTGATTGAGCTATTATTTCAAACGATTACGAAGATATTCGGGTTCGAAGTTCCCATATGCTCAATGAGTGTGACAGAGGAAGAAATTTCCATATCGTGCCGTCCCATTTGAGAATCAAAAGGTTATGCCATCTCCAGGAAAACCGGAAGATGGAAGAGAAACCCTAAAATGAGAGAAAGTGCCTTGTAGTGAGCATATTCGATATTTCAAATTTCAGGAATATAGCTAAAAAACAAAAGTGATAAGGGGGATATACAATTCCACTCAATCCTTCAGTTATGAAGAACTTTATATTTCCAATGAAGGCCTGAATTTTGTTCCTTTTGCCTCAAAGGACAGTCTTGATAAAGTATAATAGTGAGTGTTGAATCCGGGATTCTTCAAAAGGATTCGCCAGAGAAGTAGTTAGAAAACAGATTTCCAGAAATGTAATCAATTATAAACATAACTTTCCACGGAAAACTCAAAATATTATTAAGAGATTGAGAGTAAAAAACTGCTTTCACTTCAAAGCCGAAGGTAATTAGGTTGTTATTTTGGAAAAGTAACCAATAGGTCTAGTAACCATAGACCTAGGGATAATAGGTCTATGCTAGTAACGATTGTCTTCTTTAACTACTGAGTGTTCTGTATAATATTGTGATCGGGACACAACACAAGGATACCAAGATTATATTGTTAACCAAAAATACACAAACCTGGTAAGAAAATGAGACCCCTACTCACAATATTTCAAAGTGGTTGGTTGAAGTTTTTAAAACTCTAAATAATCCTCACAAAAATTATTGTGTCAAGTTTTCATGAAATCAGCGAAAAGGTCGAAGGTATGAATCTGACCGAAGGCCAAATCCTAATATCATTTGATGTTTCATCACTTTTTCCAAGTGTACCCATACCAACAACTTTGGAATATTTAAGGGAATTACGTGAATATAACAACTTTTATCCGGATAACATCAAACCATCAGTCAATCTCACAAACTTCTGCATGAGTCGAAATATTTTTCAATACTTACAGACAAGGATTTGTGCAACATGAAGGTGAAGTCATGTGTAATTGTTTATCACTTTTCTTGGCTGAACTTTTCATGAATCGGTTTGAAACGAATACAAAAGAAAAATCTGAGTATTTCCCTAAGATTTGGATTACATATTGTCGACGATATTTTTGCTATTCTTGAAACGGAAATAACAGATATAGATAACTTTCATTTCACAATTGGATAATTGCTTCTCCTCTATTAAATTCACGTTTGAAAGCGAAAATAACGGTCAATTACCTTTCTTAGATGTTCTAGTGATCAAAAATGGCAAAAACAATTTAGATGTTTTTAGAAAAGAAACTAACACACTCAGATTCATAACTGATGATTCCAATCACTGTTTTCAACACAAAATGGCAAGTTCAAATTTTCTAGAACATTTCATTTCCAAAATCATTGAAATCATCCATATCTCAAAGTGGTCCAAAGTAATTTCAAGAGAAAAACAATGAAAATCTCAAACTCGGTCGACCAGTACACTTGAGAAAATTATTAAAAATTACCAGTTTTTCTGGCTTTTTACCAAATTTGAAAAGAACCACATGTGCCTGACTCTGATAGCCCGTTTTGACGACTTGAGTTGCCCTCATGTTTGATTCTCCATAATATATAATAGCTTCATGCTTTGGTACTTTTTTGTCTGATGATGGCCATTGCGCCGAAACCGGTTACATGTAATTATTAAT